CAAACAATGTGTATAATAGTGCGAAATATTAGCACTTAATAAATTCTTTTGCGTTGTTTGAGAAATCGGAAATAGCTAAAAGTACTACTTTTGGTGCAAGGAAATCACCCAAAATTTGACAGAAGGCAGAAATTAGAACTTTTACTTATATGTGAAATTTCGTCTATTTATTTGAAACAGTACTCAAGTTATTGGCTTTTGAAAAACCAAAAGTAGAATAAGTTTAACGTCCGGTTACCGGAAATCGCTAAAAGATTGATACATAACTACAAATTTGATATAATAATATGAAATTTCATTAACCTAACTGTAACGGTACTCGAGTTATCGTGTTCACAAACAAATAGACATAGGGACAAAATTGCAAAACTAAGTTTTTCCGACTCAGGGAGGTGTAAAACGTCGAGATTTATGAAAACCTAGATTTAGATTTTTTGCATGATAACAATACTTCCTCTATACTTCGTATTACAGAAAGTAAATAAAATTAATTATTAAAAAAAAACTTTAGTCACAAGCTTTTAATTAAATGCACTGAAAATAAAAAAAAATATATATAATTAAAAGCTTCGGTCGCTCATGAGATCTTTTACATACTAAAGCGACCAGAGCTATTATGAAAGGAAGCAAATTAGTTATAATTTTCTATTTTCAGTGCATTTAAAAGCTTCTTGCTATAAAGGGTTTTATATTTATTTAGTTTTATACTTTTTGTGATTCTTAATTTATGAAGTCGACATGTCTAAAATATTTGCTTTAAAAACACAATCAAGAGATCGCGATATCTAAAAGACGATTATCTGCCCCATGAAACAGCCGTCAGTGACCATATTTTACAAACGACCCCAAGTTCTTGAATTATTTTTTTTTTTACCTCCCTTTAGTTTCAGATAGTTCAAATACTTTATTCATCGTCATTCCTTGGTGGCCCCTGGGGAGCAAAGGGCTGCAACTACACATTTCCAGCGGACTCGGTTTTGGGCTGCTCCCTTAATCTGTGCCCATGTGAGCCCAGTGTCTCTGCCTGTTCCTCAACCGTTCTTTTCCATGTTTTATTTGGCCGGCTCACTTTTTTCCCTGGGGATTCCAGTCTATAGCATGTCTTACAATCGATTTGCACCCCCTCAACCTTTCAATTTATTTTTCCAACCCATTTTGGCGTCCCCTTAACGTGTGTCCAATCCATCCCCATTTACGGGCCTTGGTATCCTTTTTCTATTGGCTGTAATTTGCCACAGGTCTTTGTTTGATATTTTGTCTGGCCATCTTATTTTAAGTATATGTCGTAAGCATTTGTTTGTGAACGAATGTAGCCTCTCGGTATTTGCCTTTGTAACCCTCCAAGTCTCCAAGCCATAGAACAATACTGCCTTGACATTTGTGTTGAAAATCCCAATTTTGCTCCGGAGTGACAGGACCGTGCACCTCCACATCGGGTGCAGTGAGTTGAAGGCACATCTAGTCTTGTTGATACGGCTTTTTATGTCCTCGTCTGCTCCCCCGTCCTTATTGATCACGCTTCCCAGATATGTGAATGTGTTTGTTTCTCGTAAATCTTCTCCATTTAGCTGTATGGGCAGGTCCTGACTGTTATTGATTCTGATGACCTCTGTTTGATTTTTGTTGCTTTTTAGTCCAACTTTGGAGGCTTCTTCAGATAGCCGATTTAGTTTGGCTAGTATATGTTGATGCTTGTGAGATAGTAGGCAGATGTCATCGGCAAAATCAACATCTTCCAGCCTTTTGGTAAAACTCCACTCGATTCCTGCGTCGTTTTTTTTTTGTGTGGTTTTCAGCTTGATCCAGTTGATTACCATCAAGAATATCATTGGCGATAGCATACATCCCTGTCTCACTCCCGTCGTCACAGTGGTTTTGTTAGTATTATCCGACTGGTGGAGTCTTCATATAGTTTCTGTGTGATAGATATACATTTTTTGGGTATTCCATAGTGGCTCATTAGCTTCCAGATAACATCTCTAGTCACACTGTCAAACGCCTTTTCGAAGTCGACAAAAGTCATGTATAGGGGGGATTGCTACTCGAGGGACTGTTCAACAATGATGCGCAGCGTGGCAATGGGGTCAGTACATGACCTGTCTTGACTAAAACCAGCTTGTTCTTGTCTCAGCTTTTTTTCCAAGGCATCTCTAAGTCTCTCTAGGATGATTCTTGTCAGCACCTTACTTAAGACTGAAAGAAGCATTATCCCTCTCCAGTTGTTGCATTGTGTCAGGTCTCCCTTCTTTGGCAGTTTTATCAAGTAGCCCAGTTTCCAGTCATATTGGATTATCTCTTCTTCCCAAATCTGCTTAAGTAGAGGATGCAATAGGTCTGCTGATATGGCTGGGCCTGCTTTGAGTGCCTCTGGTGGGATGCCGTCCGGGCCAACTGCTTTGCCATTTTTCATGTTCTTTATTGCTCTTATTGTTTCTAACTTTGTGGGTTGATCTGTACACACATTTAGTGGGTGATTTGCAGGTGGTATATCAGGGATGGTTGATGAGAGAGGATGGTTTAAAATCTCCTCAAAGTGCTGTACCCATGTTTCTCTGTTCTACGTCACTTGTTTATATTTCCTACTTTATCTTTCACTGGTTTGTTGGGATTAATATTTTTGCCTGATTGGAGTCTGGTTACTTCATAGAGCCTCTTCATGTTTCCTTGTCCTGCTGCAATAAAAACTTTATTAGCTGCCCCTAATTGCCTTCACTAGATCGATCGTCTCCGCGATTGTAAACGTAAAATACTATTTCTCTCACATACATTGTCATACTGATAACATCTGTTTACTTTAGAAATAATTTATAAAATATTAAATAGACTTTGATATATGTCATTGAATCAAATAAACCGGGAGTGATCTCCCCTAAACTTTCTCGAATATTCTTATATAAAACAACAGAGGATGGGAACTCCATTTTAAATACTTAACCTTTTAAAATAGAATAAAATTTCGTAGGAAAAAGAATTGCGCACCAAGTGAACGCCAAATAAAGATGTGCATAATAGTGCGCAATATTATTAGTACTTTATAAATTTACATTCGTTTTTTGAGAAATCGGAAATGGCATAAATTAGTACTTCCAGTCAACGGAAATTACTCAAAATTTGACAGAAGGTAGAGAATTAGATCTTTTACTTACATGTGAAATTTCATTTATCTATCTGAAATAGTACTCAAGTTATAGGCTTTTGAAAAATTCAAAGTAGAAAAAGTACCACTTCCGGTTATCGGAAATCGCTCAAAAGTTGATACGGATCTACGATTTTGATAAAATACTTGTATATGAATTTTCATCAACCTAGCTGTAACGGTACTCAAGTTATCGTGTTTACACACAGACAGACACACACACACAGACATACGGACAAGATTGCAAAATTATGTTTTTCCGTATCAGTGATCAGTGAGATGTAAAACGTCGAGATTTGTACAAATCTCTGTTGTTGTTTTTTGCACGATTACAAGACTTTCTCTATACTTCGTATATACGAGAAAGTAAAAATCCTGCCTCCAACTAATATCACAATATTGATATTATCATGTTCCTTTTATTTTATTAATCTAATTTATTCATTTATTTTTCTAGATGATGATAAGTACTATAGTCACTAGTGTAAAGAGACCAACATCACGTCTGACTCAACCAGTGAGGTCTGAACGCTATGTTGAATTATCTTGTGATATGACACTGCCAGGACTAACATCCTTTCTTGCATACAATCTTGCACTTGTATTTTTGTGTTCTGTTTTTGCTTTTAAAACCAGAAAACTTCCAAATAATTTTAACGAATCACGTTTTATAACAATGTGTGTCACCACAACACTTGTTATATGGCTTGCATTTATCCCCACATTTGTCACTTCCAGTCGTCAGCATCATAAAACTTTGCTTCTGGTATTAGCACTCCTTTTAAACCATACAGTAGCTCTTGTATTTTTATTCCTGCCTAAATTATATGCAGCAATCTGTCATAAAGACACAACTGACAATCGTAAAAGATATTTAACCACTCGCAGATTTAGAGTAAGTACTGTACCCAGCAACAATAGTTTTGAGTCAAGTATGATTCAAGGTAATGCTTTACAGCAGACACTTGCTGAAATACCCTAATCGATGGAACTATTCTTACTGGAAATGGAAGCAAGGAACAGCACTAGCTTAGGGGCAATATTCCTTTAAATCCTCTAGTTAATTGATTGTTTAAAACAAAGAATAACAGTTTTGATGCCACTTTACTGCCAGAAGCTTAAAAACAAGCCCTTGATTCAAGGGTACAGTAAATTATTAGCTCAGCATGTTAAAAATGATTGTGGTCCAACCACTAAAGAACAGATATTCTATCTCTACCTTGAGCACAAAATTCAGTGGATATTTTAAAGAAGTTGCCCTATTGACAAAAAAAAAATCAATATTAATTATTTCCATTAAGCTTAAGACATGAGAGCAAAAATTGATCATAGTTTCAGTGACCACTGAAAGAATAAAGGATAGTAAAAGAACTCAAAGAGTTACATAAGTAAGTAAAGTTCCTCTTTAGACCTAGTAATCCATTTGGACAGATGTAGAAGATTATAATAATTATATATTTCTTGACCTAGGCATATGAAGGGATAGTGATGTTAACACTATGCCCAGCTGCCTTTACTTTCTTTTTAAAAAGTCAGGTACGCATCAGAGCTGGGTGAACTCAGGGATGTCTTACAGCCACTAGTCCGAATCGAGATTTGAACTCGAGACCTTTAGGCTAGCAACAAAACTGTCCCATTTGAGTCAATTACCAATGGATATTTTAATCATCAAATATAAGTAGTTAATTAGTAATATTATCAGTAATTAAGAAATCAGAAGAAAACATAAAAAATACATTGTATTGTACAACAATATTCTTAAAACTAGTTGTAAACCTATATAGTCTCCGGGCATTAATGGGCCCAAAGCATTCAAATAATTTTGGGTTAGTTGTGTGAAAAAAATTAGAAAAAATACTTATAATTAAAGTTTATAAATGTATTTTTAATTAACAAAAATAAGTAATGACAAGAGAAAATTTCTTGTAATTCTGAAGGATGTACTCAGTCTACAAAACTGTTGATAAAACTGGAAATGGATTCTGTTTACTTACTACCAGCTTTCTGTGTTGATGAGATATGTAGCCTTTGATCTTGTTCTATAGTCAGTAAAAATGTTTCAAGTATACATTAAAACAAATTTGTATAAATTTAATTGTAATGTGAACAATTAAAACACACTGCATACACCTCAGCTACATCTATATAACACACTATCATGAATGCATACACCACCCTATATTGGTTTAGTAATAGATTGTAGTAGACCGTGAGGCATCAAAAGGGCCAGTAACAAATGGACCCCGTCATATAGGTCCCGTCTATAAGGTACCCATCATTTTGGCTCTTGACAAAAGGGCTCTTGTCAATACAGTTACCATAGAGACTAAGCTTCATCAATGCTCTTTACAGTTACCTTATCCAACAATCTTAAATAATTCAACATTTCATCTCTTGTTCAGCAGCCCTTATTTTTAGATTGTTTTATTTAGCCGTATAAAAAATAGTGTTCAAAATTTAAGGGTCATCTAGCTATGACTTCCATCAAATGAGTCAGTTGTGGGTTGTTCCAACTCAGTGTGTGGGGAGAGGTGCTTGCTGAACATTTACCTGCAGTATGCTTGTAGGTTATCAAAACAAAATGCTGTTATCCTATAAACATAATGTATATCATACACTTCAGTGCTCGCTTTTAAGCAACAGATCTTCATGTCTGAACATTTTTAAAACTTTAACATTGGTCAAATTTAGCTGTTAATGGCGCTCAATTTGTTAATGAATTGCTGTTGGTTCATGCAAAAGTTTATCATTCAGGCATTTAAAAGAGGCTATAATGGTAGTGGAGGTAGGAACTGCACATGGTAGGTGGGTTGGACAAACTGGTTACGTTTATGCTAATAAAGATCATTCGTCTCATTTTGATGGGAGCCCATATGCCGGGAGACGATTTGTCGGGAGCCTATTCATCAAAAGTCAATAAGACAGGAGCCAAAATGTTGGGGCCCTTTTGACTGAGCTATTTTGACACGGTCATTTTCTCGGAGTAACACTGACGGGGCCATGTTGTCCCAGACCATTTTGACGGTGCATCTTATTAGACGACCATATATTTTGTGTAGATCAGTCTATAAAACATATGTTAATGGGGAGTCTGCAGTGTTCCTGGTAACATGACTGGTGGGCGCTGGAGGGCACCCTGGTACAGTTTTCACCCCTACACCCTCTGCAACCATTACCCGCCAGGACAAAGTGAATTAATTAAAGACATAAAAATATTTACAGACACCCCCCCCCCCCCCCAAACACATTAGTGCTGGCTATTATAACGAATGAGAAACAACCAAGTTAATTTTTTTTTTCAAATTAAACAAAACTGTGAAGTCCTTTTATTATTCAAAAGATTTCTGATTGCTGATATGGAAAAATTCTCAAAAACTTCCCAATGTTTCATTCTAGTCAGATGAAAGGTGTACTAATGCATAATCCAATCCACACACAGTTATGAGTTGAGTTTGCTAGGTGCGAATGAATGTTGGTGCAAAGAGATAATGAATTAATAGAATGATGACATTAATGACAGGAATAAAGAAAGTAATGTTTTGTGTAGAAACTGATTGCTGTGTGTTTTTGAGTTGGTACTTGTCTTCATGTACTTGGTGTTAAGAAGTATGACTTGCGTGACTAGATGGGGAGACTGAGGTCGTCTTGGGATTGTAATAATCTGACCTTAACTTATGGAAGCTGGAGACATTGTGAATGTGCATTAACCAAGTATGTAATACTATGTGAATAAACTCTAAACTAAATACAAGCATCTTGTCAAGTGATTGTATATGTTGATGTACGACTGATGAGATCGGTACCCTCACAAGCTTAACATGTAGAAGAGCAGCAGAATTAGACAATGGTTATAATAATCAAGTGTAATCATAAAACTTAAAATAAACAGTTTAGCCATTTAAACAAGTAGTAACCCTGAGCAGGACGAGCAATCAACATATCCAAGGAGCAGCTGGAGAACTTTGGGTGCCAAATTGTACACTATGCACTATATTTTTTCTCTTATTAATAGATACAATAAAAAATAGATACAATTAAACTGATTTTTTTACAAGTGAAATTGTTATCTATATAAAAATATAACATTACTTTCTAAGTGTGTTAGGGTGATGTGTTTAAAATATCATATTTTTGGTTACAATGTGCATTATCCCTTATCATTTATTACTTTCTATTGTTGTTGTTGTCAACAAACTTTTTAAATTGGCATGATTGCATTTTTAAATACTATAACCTACTTTCCACTCATGGTAAATCTAATGGAATAAAATTATACTAATTACATTTGAATACATTTTAAGAACTCAATGAATTATATTCAATTTCAATGTTTACATAATACAAAAAATTTTTTTTAGACCATTTTGAAATTTTGGTACTGCTGATAAAGCACCATAGTTTACGCCAGAAAAAAAATTCGGAAATTTTTTGAGTTGGTAACAGGACACCTAGTTTCCCTTATTTTTTTTCTAGTCATCTGAATTAAGCATGTAGTAAAGTTGAAACAATGCACTACAGCATTATTGTCGAAGAAGTTAACTAAGAATAATATCTACCTCATAAATTAAATTTGCAAGAATGCATTGAGTTTCATCATCATCAATTCCATCAACCTGAAAAGCATAAACAATAATTTAACATATTTGATCTTGATCCATTTCTAAAATAAATTAAAATCTACCCACAAAAAACTATGCTCATAATTTAAAAAAAGAAAATTATTGCATGGTCAACAATCCACAGATTATAACAATCATTCTAACTAATGCAAATTCAAGCCCCCACCCCCATTAATGCAAGGTCACAAAAATCTGTACTTGCCCTACCCACTAATTGTTGACCACAGTTATGGTAAGTGTCTCTCAAAAAAGTTTGAAACTTATTGTATCTGATTAAGCACAATTAATATTATATTATATAGCATTTCCTAGACCTTCTGATATTACAAAACATTACTAAGACACACACACCCACCCATCCCCCCTCAAATTAATCCATTTACAACAAAATCAAGGAGATTTTAAAATTAATGATGGAAATCTCTTAAGAGAAAATGGATTGATACATGTGCATTAGGAAGAACTGAATAGCTTTAAAGTGAGGTAAAAGAAGGGGCCTGGTTAGAAAGCCAATCATTCTAAAAAAGTTAAATTCTTTGAAGGTTAGAAAAATATAAGATACGAGCCGGCCCGCGGCATAACATATGCCGCTATTTAGTTGTTTCTAATTTTCAATAATTCATAATTTGTGAATTCGACAGTACCAACGCTGACACTGAAAATATTTCTTTAAAACACTATAAGTAGCTCGTTAAGGACCATAACCCCCCCCCCTTCCTCCCCCCCCCTCCCCCCCCCCCCTACGTTTAAAATCGTTGGCTCTGCTTGTAAACATTTAGAGTGAACACAGCTCACTAAAACCATGTAGGGGTGGGGAGGTAGGGAGAGCGTTTGCAGCTTGTTTTCTAACGGCTCGAAGAGGAGAATTATATATATAGATTGTTATAGGGCTGTAACAATGCTCTTATACCTTACTGCATATTATAAAAATTTAATATTTAAAAACATTATTAATATATTGATATAAAAAAAATTGATAACCACTTCCTATTCTTATTTTGTTTAGTTAAATAATGAGTGAAATATCACTAAGCCAAAAACTTACCTCCATCATTTTTAAAGCAGTTGTAAATGCACTCATGTCAATCAAATGATTTTTCTGATTTATAAGATATCTAAAAAAAAAAAGGACCGTTTATTTAAAATAAAAAGGAAACTGTAACATGTATCAACATGTAAAAAGAAGGATAAACAAGAAATGTCAAAATTGGAACGTTAGAAAAATATTGTGACTGACGGCCATTTAAAAAAAAAATTCCTTTACATTGCAACTTCCTAATGTAAAATCAAATATGACTAAAGGTAAAAGTTTCTCAGAAAAACGTTTTATTTATGTCTTTATCCAGGATTTAAGTTAAACCCATGATGGGACAATTCGATATGATGCAGCATTAAAATTTATTTAATGGTTTAACGTAATTTTTAAATTTATTTCCAGCACTATACAATCACTAAAAGTACCCACAAACAATCCCAAGAAGAAAAAATAAAGATTAAAATTTTCAAAAAAAAAAAACAATACTATTACTATAACATACACAGCAAAACAACAAGTTTAAAAAATCATATTCTTATGATTTATCAGCTTATTAATGGATTAACTTATTTAGCCTAAAAGAGAAAAGAGAGAGTAATTTCTCTCTAAGCTGTGTTTGTCAGCAAAAACTAATTGAGAGTTTTAGTGATACAAGTTAAGCATTTTTAAAGATGAGATTATAAAGGAATAAAAAAATTACATATACTACTTAGTTAAAAAAAAAACCATTGCTGTTTATTGGATATATAACACAAACATAGGTTAAACTTCTGTTAAAATAAACAAAATACACATACTGCTCTTTTAAAAGTTACATCCAGTTTTCCACATGAGAAATAAATCTCAGAATACAGTGCAAATGAAAAAATGCCCAATAGAAAATTGAGCAAACACACTCGCCAAGAAATATGTACAGAAAAATGCTCCATGTAAAAATATTTGTTTTGGCTTTGGTTTCTGTAACTGTACTTAATTTTATGTGGATGAGTAGTTAGCCCATGGAACATACCCCAACCTGGAGGACCAAAGCAAATAAGAGGGAAGAAGTGGTGCTGGGTGGGACACACTGTGAAAGTCTCACCCAAATATGACACAATAAGCACTTGAGTGGAACCCCGAGGGAAAGCGGAAGAGACGCCACCCAAGACAGACCTGGAGGCGGAGTCTTCTCGAAGAACTGAAGCCAACAGGGATGTCTTGGGAGATTGCAAAATTAATAGATAGGGATCGGACGAAATGGAAGGAAATGGTGGAGGCCCTATCTATAAATATAAAAAGCGTTATGTTTGTCTGTGTCAGTTTTTTATGCATTTCTACATCTCTCATCACTTTGAAACTTTGAGATGTTGTTGAGAATTTTCCTGGGGAGGTTTCTGCGGAAAAAAAATTTTCAAATTCGCAAGGGCAGCGCCATGGCAGGATGCGATTTTTCTCTATATACGGTATATAAAAATAATAAAAGTGAATTGCAGTGACACCGTTCACACCATCGCCATGAAACTTTGGGAAGATGTTGAGAATACTCCTGGGGAGGTTTCTGCGCAAAAAACATATTCAATTTCGCCCCGGCAGGGGGTGATTTGTTTTTTCTTAATAACGGTATATAAATATAAAAGTCGATTGTGGTTTCTCGCCGTTCATCTGATCGCCATCAAACTTTGGGGAGTTGATTAGAACACTCCAAGGAAGGGCTCTGTCATAAAAATCTTTTTTAATTTCGCAAAGGCGACGCCACAGGAGGGTGTGATTTTTCTATATATACAGTATATAATAAAATACTTAAAAAAAAACTTTTTAAAAAACCACGTTTTTCTTGTGGACTAAAAAGTAGAAAATATATTTTTCTTCCGACCCTAGGGGATCTACCAATGACTGCTCGTAGATTTTGTGCTTCCTCGAGCTGTGCAGGTTCTTGTGATGACTGTTCATACATTTGATGACAAAAAACGTGGGTCGGGCAGATTTATGATTAAAGCGAAAAGCACAAAACACACGAATTTTGGAAATTTGATGGTGAACGTACCCACGTTTTTTGTCATCAAATGTATGAACAGTCATCACAAGAACCTGCACAGCTCGAGGAAGCACAAAATCTACGAGCAGTCATTGGTAGATCCCCTAGGGTCGGAAGAAAAATTTATTTTCTACTTTTTAGTCCACAAGAAAAACGTGTTTTTTTTAAAAAGTTTTTTTTAAGTATTTTATTTCTTCTTTAAATAAAATTGTGGTTATACATTTAAAACATCTAACATATTATTTTCAACAAAAGTCCGCATAAAGTTCTCCATATATCGCTGCCGTTTCAGACGTGTTGTCCGGCGAAAATATTTTGCGGACAGACAGAGAGAGAGAGAGAGAGAGAGAGAAGAGCGCACATGGCGTTTTATATATTAGGATTCTTGTGGACCTACGTAAATAAAGTTGAAAGTTATTGTGTTCCTGAATGAAAGAACCCACAATAACGACCGTATTGTCATACCCGTCTCAGCACGTTGCCGAGGGGATAAAATCAAGTCTGACAAAATATATCAGAAGGGTTTCATCAGTGCGTTACCAATCCTATGTTCTTAGACTCGTGACGTTGTTTTCTAAAACTGAGTTATTTAAATGAAAACAATGGCTGCGCTTGGATCATAAATTTCGGGACACCGGTTTACCAACACTCCCGCATGAAAACCTTGAGTGTACGTTGATCACTCACCGAAATAATGAGGTAGAACACACTTCGGTGACCGCCTGTGTGTCAGGGAAGTAGAGGGGTACTCTAGGGAGCCCCGATTACACTACCGCAGAGGCACCGCATACGGCCCCTGGCTACTTAAACCAATATAGGCGCCATAGTGCCCACAGGATAACCAAGAGTGCTAAATAGCATCTTGAGACAATGATGCTGAATGCGTTGTTCGCTAAAGTGACACAAATCAACAGGATTTTTTCTTTAACTCGTAAAAAAAATTATTTGACGTATTATAAACATCAGTTTGACTGCTGCAATATGTTAGAGTTACTAATGGTGTATTATTAGATGCTTGATCTCAATTTCTGACTGGATCTTCTAAAAATAGAAGCTAATTGCATCATTTGCAAAGTGACCAAACTGAACAGAAAGATTTCCTCACCTCACAAAGTTATTTTTAGAAGTGTGACTTTTTTTTTAGATTTTAGCTGCCCTCAGAAACTTAATTTTTTACCAAAATATTTTCATTATTTCGAGAACTCTAGGCTTTGGAATTGTTTGGACATTTTAATAGACAAAAGGAAACAACCTGTTCATAATCTAACCTTGCTTAATTTATCTGATTATTCAAAAAAAATTATTACAGAGCCTTAGTGGCCCTTGAGAGCCTTTGGGGGTAAAAACTGAAATTTTTGTTCGCTGCAAAATCGCACAGGGCACCAGAGGAAACGTCTGATTCAATTTAGAGAGCAACTATATATCGCCCCATTTTATCCATTGTCTATCGCACTGTTAAGAACGAAAGCAGGCGCCATTGTGCTCAGGGGAAAGCCCAGATCAAATCCTACAGGGGACACGCCTGGTTCGATATAGTCGATGATTATTGTTGTCCATTGTGTGTTTAGGGTACAGCCTTTTTTTAAAACGAACTTAGGCGCCATAGTGCTCGCAACAATCTACGATGTGCCGGTGGTTGCGCCTGTTGAAGTTTAAACGCTGAATATAGTAGTATCCCTTACACACTATGCAGGACGTACGATTTACGGATGCCAAGTGCTAACATAGCGGCTCTGATCAAATTTTAATTATTTTGTTAACAGAAACCTTCCTGGGAGTATTCTCATCTACTCTTTAAAGTTTCATAGCACTCGGATGAACGGTGTCAGACCGCATTCAACTTTTATTTTTTAATATATATAGAGAAAAATCGCACTCTCCCGTGGCGCCAGGCTTGCAAAATTAAAAAAGATTTTTTTTCCGCAGAACCCTTCACTGCAGTGTTCTAATCAACTCCCGAAGTTTCATGGCGATCGGATGAACGGTGTGAAACCGCAATCCACTTATATTTTTATATTCCGTAACGGTGTGAAACCGCAATCCACTTCTATTTTTATATTCCGTATATAGAGAAAAAAAATCACGCCTACCGGGGCACCACCCCTTCGAATTTGAAAAAAAAATTCCGCTGAAACCTCCCCAGGAATATTCTCAACAACTTCCCAAAGTTTCAAAGTGATGTGATGAGAGTGAGAGGTGTAGTAATGCATAAAAGACAAACTGACATACACACACACATACATTGCTTTTTATATATATAGGTAGATAGATAGATAGATAGATAGATAGATAGATAGATAGATAGATAGATAGATAGATAGATAGATAGATAGATAGATAGATAGATAGATAGATAGATAGATAGATAGATAGATAGATAGATAGATAGATAGATAGATAGATAGATAGATAGATAGATAGATATGTATGTGTGTGTGTCTGTGTGTGCATAATAGCTAAGATTATAATTTGTGTTGAATTAAGTGTTACAGTAAGTCAAAATGATTAGAAAAGTGTTATAAATTTATTTACGCATTTCGTATTTGTTAAATTTAAAGTTTGTAGAGTTAATATGTTTTAATTTAGGATTCTCTTAGCTATGTTTAATATCCAGTTTTCTTATGATGTGTGACAAGGGGAAAGGGACAAGGGAATAAGATGGGTCGGATGATTGATAATAACAACCTGCTAATTACTCTAGATCAATTCCCACATACTCCTCACCATCATCTCCCCAGGCCTTTTTCCCATGCCCAAACAAGGAATAGGAATAGTTATAAGTAGGTATAGGTATGGGTGTGCATAGGTATAATAACCTAATACAAAAACAATATGGAATAAACAACCAATAAGTATAAACATCAATATTAAAACTTGTTAAGAATTTCTAGCAATTACTTACACTTTTTTAAAGAGATTTCTGTATGTAATGATCCTAAGTTTTTCCAAAATCAGATAAATTCCACAACGGATAAAAAATGCTTCATGCTTTTGTAAAGCAGCATTAAGCTTCAACAAGTTTCCTGAACTGGAGAATACAAAAAGAAAAACAAATGATGTTAATCTAAAATTTAAAAAAATGATAAAACGATTAATTGGATAATGGATTTCAGTCAAAAAGTCCCACATTTTTTTATTTTTTTCAGCAGCCACCCATGTTTTTTTCTTTTTCCATTATAAAAAATTTCCCTAGAAATATTTGCCATGATACAGTTTATCCTAAAAATACAAAACCATTGGTAATTATCAAAGTCTACAAAGACTGTAAATAGAAAAAACTATAGCCTTTTAGGAGACTTCTATAATGAATTTTTATTCTTTGTATCACTAATTAGCAACAGCTGGACACATTAGAAAAAAATTCTAATTTATAAAAAAAAAGGAAATTTGCCACTAAATGTAAGTATTGTAATTGAAATTTTCATAAATTAACTAGACTACCCGTTATCCTTGAATAACTGGGTTTCTGGGGGTCATCCAAAAATGACATCACGTCTGTCTTTTATTGTCACAAAAAAACCAGACCCCACATTCAAAAAGACGTCACAACTCAGATGTTTTTGTCTTTTAAAAACACATTTTTCAGCTGACCATGGGTCTGACCACACTATCCCTTCATATGCTGACGTCACAGGTGAACTCTACACCTAACCAACTCTACTTCACCTGCCCAGTGTATTGCCAAGTCTCAGACGACATGTTTTTATCGTTTAAAATAACAGATTTTGGCCGAGCTTGGCTCTGACCACACTATCCCTTCATATGCTGAGGACATAGAAACAGGTGAACTCTACTTCACCTACCCTGTGCCCCCAAAGTCCCGATAAGAAACTTTATCATTCACATCTAAAAAAAAATAATTTATTATTGTCGAGATTTGTCTCAAACCCGTACCACCCGCATGGTAACTATTATACTATCATCTTAGCTATGTGGGCACTTACGAATTAGTGCAGAATCAGTACTATAATTTACTGTAAAGTAAGAAACTTCACTTACGCGAATAGGCCCTATTATTTCAAATTAAATTATATCCCAAATTAGCCAATTCCATAGCTAAACAAATAAAGATTTATATAAAAATAATTAAGGCCTGAAATTGTTTAGTATAGAAACTCATTATTGGCATAGATTCTAGATCTAGATAGAGCTAGATCTAGAATCTACGGCTAGTTTTTCAGGAGCACTAGCTAGATCTAGAACCTAGATAGATAAATCCCATGTATTCTCGAATTAAATGATCATTGAAACTAAAAGGCAAAGATTTATACCAAATATTTAAGTTTAATAAAGAAACTCAATAATTTATTGTGGTTTTAGAATTGATTTTATTTTTAACTAATTAATTTTGGTTTGACCTAGATTCTAGATTTAGGATTGACTTTCTTTTTGTCCGACAGCGTATCTGTAGATCTAGAGAAATTTATTGTATACTCAAATTAGGAGAACTGTTGAAAATTGATAATAGTGTTGGAACCTAATAAACATAGCAAACAGATGTATTGTTAAAGCTATAGCCGACAGAAAATTAGCTTTATAATGCGTTAAACTTTTGAATGGGCAACAAAATCTTGGATGGAAACCGCCATTATTGATGTAAAAAGTAAATAAATCATGTGACATTACTATAAATAAAGTCATTGTTCTGAACTTTTATAAATCAATTTGTTTTCCTACCAATGAATATATCAATTAATTAATTAATGTCTTAAAAGGAATTTTTTATTAACAGTTTGGCAAAAAAGAACATCCAAAATCCAAAAAATTTGTGGACGTCATAAATGAGTGACCCCTAACCGAAAGTGGAACTTTTTCTACTTTAAATTTTTCAAAAGCCTATAAGTTGAGTACTATTTCAAATAGATAAATGAAATTTCACATGTAAGTAAAAGATCTAATTCTCTGCCTTTTGTCAAATTTTGAGTAATTTCTGTTGACCGGAAGTATTAATTTTCGCTATTTCTGATTTCTCAAAAAATGCATGTGAATTTATAAAGTACTAATAATATTCTGCACTATTTTACTTGGTGTGCAATTCTTTTTTCTATGGATTTTATTCTATTTTAAAAAGTTTAAGTATTTAAAAGGGATTAAAAATCATGTCTATATCCCGAGTTGCCATCCCCTGCTGTTTCATATAAGAATATTCAAGAAAGTTTAGGGGAGATCACTCCCAGTTTATTTTTTCAGTACTTCACTTTTTAAAAATTTACAATAGAGTTGCAAGACTAAAACCTATTGCGCACCTAATGAACGTGATATGCATGTATAATAGTGCAGAATAGTTGGGTAAGACTACTATTTTGGTCAAAATGTTAATTAATTCATAAAAACCAATTAAGTCAAATTTAATGTCATGTTGCATTGTCTTCATGTCTTGACCCACTTACCAACGGTTTGATCTAGACTGACGACAGACATAGTGAGTTAAATAAAAGCTTGGAAAAAAAAATTTTCCCTGATGTACTGTTTTTTTAAAGAGTAATTGCGTTTTCCTAATTAATCAAGGGACGTAATTGGTGGTAAAGGACTAAATGAAAATAATTTTCAGACACAATTAGAATTTTTGTGAAGGGTATTAAATATTCTTTAATTTTGTTTAATGTACATGCCATCAATGGACACCAGTGAGTTGACGAAAATCCTTCCGTAATGTTGTTGACATGGAATAAAAATGTGCTTTTTTAGATTTAGGACCGTACAAATAATAAAAGATAAAATTTTATTAAAAACTTAAGCCTAAAATTAATTCAGAAATTTAATATTTTTAGAATCAATGCTATACAAGTTGCAGATCCAGAGAACTTGAAAATAATTTGTTGAGTTTAAGGCTACATTTCTATTTATTTTCATCAAGCCTAAGTCATAACCCAATGTTTCACTTTCGTAAGACAAACATTGATTGGCTGTACAGGAACTCCGTGATCGATTTCTGACAGCCCCACTTTATAGTTTTTTTTGTTTACAAAACTTTGCAGTTCAAGTTTTTAAATAACAATGCAAATTTAAATCCCATGAGCTAGTTTTTCTTTTTTAGCTTATAATGTGTACAATAAAATTTATGTCGGCCTATCGAATAGCAGGATGCCATTGTTTATGTCGCCATTACACATGAAAACCAAATTGTTTTTCCTTTTATTTTTTTATTTAGTTACCGAAAATATTAAAATTATCAAATACATCCAATCTTTAGTAAAGTCCGAAAAATACCAGACAGGCAGGATTTTATAACCATATTAATTGTAACTACGCCGTGCATGATTTTTAAATTAATTTATGGACCTCTCAAATACCTTTGAGACTTTTGGAAAACGAAATTTGTTTTATAACACCTTCAATATTAATATTTTAATCATTAATTTAGATAAAGAGTACTTTAGAGATATTACACTATGACGATCAAGTATATTTTTTACTATATTCCTTTTATACCTATATTCCGAGCGCCTCATACAGAGATGAACTTTATAGATGTAACTGGGGTAGGCCTAACTACCAGTTACAAATGATAACGAACGAGAAGCCGAGACACGGTGTTGGTCTGATGCAACCGATAACAGGTGGCTTATTGGGTCGGGCTGATAACAACCTCAAAGCCAAGGCGTGCTATTTTGGGAAACGGTATTCAGACGGCCTGTCAACTTTGATGGATAGGACGCAGATGTTATTTTACGGTCTGTACGTTTGAACTACGCAACTGGTGGTCGGAGATCGAGTACAAGTATCGATTACGGAGGAATACAAGTACGGAGACGAGTACGGATACAAGGCATAAATAGGAGGGCACGGCAGGACTCGCTCTCTCTTCCGTCGTCGTCGCTTGCTTTAGATCAGTCAGTCTGGGTGACATACCCAAGTTGGTTATATTGTGTTAAGAAGGACAATAGACATGTGGATTCAGTTATATGAAGCCTAGTGAGGACTGTTAGGGGGTCAGTTGATTCAGACTATTATTGTGAAACATCTCTGTTGATTCATTGTGTTATATTGAAACATTTCTTGATTCATGTAATAAAAGGATCAATAGCGAACCTGCATCTTCGAGTCTTTCTACTGTAGTCGATGTTGTGTAGCATGAGTGGTTCAACTCGTTACAATTGGCGTTGTCGGGCAGGATAGACTCGGGAAAGGTCACATTGGGCGTTGCGAACAGGATAGATGCAACTAGCCTAGGTCACATTTGGCGCTGCGAGCAGGATGAATTAAACTAGACTTGCCGATTTAGGCACCCATAGTCAACCTTGTGCATAACTGTGTTTTGTGTGTATGTGAATTCGGACATTCAGGAACTGTGAAAATTGAGGAACGAGGAAAATTTTTTTCATATACACACGGTAAGAAAGAACTCTTTTGTTTTACTTACGGAATAAAATGTCTACTCTGGACGAGAAGCAGACCCATATAGTGGTCCTACCCAGAGAGTCCCACATTAACAAATTTTACGGGGACGGGGATCCCACTTTAACCAACAGGTTCAGTGAAGAGGTCAAAGCGGCCTGGGCCTCAAGAGGCATGTCACCAGAGGAAAGATTAAGACTGCTGATGGGCAGCATAGGAGAGACGGTTAGGGCAGAGGTCAAATGCCACGATAAAACCATCCAATCAGATCCGGATAAGGTGCTGGATCTGATTATGGAGACCTTTGGGGAGAGACGGTCGGGATCGCAACTGCTGGCAGGGTTCGTAGGCTTGAGGCAGAGATTGGCGGAGAGTGTGATGGAGTACTCACACCGGATGAACAGTGCCTTTGATTCGGTAAAGGTCAAAACACCGGACATTGATGTACGCCTACTGAGGGACCATTTCATTGAGGGGCTGGCAACCCCGATCCTAAGAAGAGAGTTGAAAGAGGAGGTCCACAAAGAACCGCAGTTGACCTTCCTCCAGGTCAGGAACTCAGCGATCCGCAGGTCCGAGGATGAGGACCAATCGAACTGTTCGGTGGACAAAGTTTCTGTACCTGAACAGAGACAATCCCCACCCACAGGGGCCGACACGATGGAGACCATGATGGCTCAACTGTTGGCC